CTGTGCAGGTGTGTCTGTTTCGTTGATCGGCTGCCCATCAAATCGGAATCTGATCTGCCTCATTGACAAACCCTGTCGTTCACAATAGGCTTTCATTAGTTTACTAGGTGGTGTATGCCTCTTAATCTTAAACTGCACCACAGAACCATCCTGCCCCGCCACCTTCAAATTAATATGATCTTTGTTCTCAGTCTTGACTCCTTCCTTGGGCTTTTCGTCGGCCATGGCGAGCGCCGGAGTCTCCTCAGCTGCCGCTTCACAAAAGAGGTACCAGGTCCTCACCGAACAAGCACACAGGCAGCACCAGGAGCAGCAGAAGAAGGAGGCGGCAGCGGTGGAGGAGGGAAAAGCTTTCCCTTCTAGTTTTGACAGACTTCCTCTTGGCTCCCAAGAGGAGGGATTCCCTGATGTTGACATACATAGCCACCTTGGCACAGATGCCTTATGGTATGGAAAACTTAACATTTGTCTTTATGTCTTCTCCTTCTCTGCCTTGCATAGACTTAACTCCCTTAAATCAGAGATCTGTTGGGACCTGACTACAAAAAAATGGTTATTAGTATATCAGGTAATCTGGAATTTCCAATGACATTAAGATGGCATTCTTTAAAAAAGTAGCAGTTCCTTTTCTATACTGTTGTATCATCAGATTGATAAGTCTGCTATTTTCATTTCCTGAAAGTTGGGGTTGGCCTGTGAGAAGTTGTTAAACAACATGCTAAATGTGAAATGTCAACTCTCACTCTAAACTGTTCAATATATCAAATGAAGATTTCTTTGGATTTTATAGTGGCTTTCTGATTTTGGTAGTTCATTGAAGAAGGGAGTTTTTTTGTTTGTTTTGTTTGTTTTCTTTTTTGGAGAGGTTTTTGCTATAGGGCGCATGCGCTCGCCAGAGCGACAGAGACAGCGAGACAGAAAGCGAGAAATCAACCCCCAGGGGGGATGGCCACGCCACAATCCCTTCTTCTCCATTCTCCTCTCGGGATCTTGGGCATGCATGTATACACGCCCGGCGTGAGTTTAAGCTGCCAGGTCCGGGACTTGAACCGCGGTCGACTACATGGGAGTCTAGCGACATAGCCATTACACTAACTGCTAGTCCCAAGAAAGGAGTTTGAAAGTTGTTGTATATTGTTAATGATTGTCTGCCTTTGTCCTGCTTGAAATATCATGATTGTTTATTAAAAGTATCTTTAATAAAGCTGGATACAGTTTGGCTTAGAGGGGAAAAAAAAAAAGAATAAGACCAGGAGACACATGCTCCTGATCTTTCTCAGTGTGATATCCTACATGGTCTTAGTATTCCACCAATAGGATCACCACCAAATGTGGTCCCTGGCCCTTGGATCTCCAAACCATGACCTGAATAAACCTTTTTTTTTTTTTTTTTTAAATTGCCATAGGGCACATGTGCTCACCAAAGACAGGCAGAGAGAGAAGGAGAAAGCACCCCCTCAATGGGATATGGTCATGCTACAATCTATTTTCCTCTATTTCTCTATCCTATTGGGATTTTGATCATGCATGCACGCATACCAAACTTCCTTTTCAAGCCACCAGGTCCCTGGCCCCCCACACTTCAAATCACATGGTTGGGCATGTGAGATCCAGCTCCCTTAACCACTATACTATGGGCTGCCCCCCCACACACACACACACACTTGCACTTGCTCTTTAAAGCACTTATCAATCTTGTTCTTTATTCAGTGTCCACCTTCTCAACTACACTAAGAGCTACATGACAGTAGGAACTGTGGCTGCCTTGCACACTTTAGACACCTATTTTCAAGCATCATATTTAGCCAAAATTAAGTACTTGTTTCACATATAGGTCTTTGGTGGCATATAGCCA